CCACCATACCACCACCACCACCACCACCACCGTTCCTTGCTTTCAGGTCTCAGCTCCCAGCTGCCACAGAGCACTGAATCTGAAGCACCTTCTGTGTCTGTCACTTCTTAGGAGCTTCAGACTGCACCGCGAGGAGGGGCCTGGCGGAGCTTTTTTCCTCTCCTGTACAGGGTTTGGGGAGACCGGAGGAAGAAAACGGCCACAGCAGGACATAAATGTGGTAAATAAAGGGAACCAGCAAAGAGATGGAACTTGATGGTTTGGGCCTCAAGGGAGACACTGGGGTAGATAGTTCTTTTGGGGTAAGAAATGTATTAATGCCACAAACCCACCGACAGTCTGCAGCGTGGAAGGGAATCCGAGGACAGTTGACACCCAAATGTCATAGTGCGTATCCCTTCTAATAGGTTTCGGAGAAAAGGGTGAGTGAGGTGCCAGTCAAGGCGTGGTGAGTACTCCACAGTCAGGCTTGTACCTAGACGGTCTGCCCTCCCGGTGGACGGGGAGAGGAGGAAGGAAGTGTGATCTTGAGTGTGTGTAGAGGAGTATGTAGAGGCAGGAGGAGTCCTTCAGTTACTGTGTATCCATCATACAGAACAGCGGTTCTCAACCTTCCTGATGCTGAGACCCTTCAATACAGCTCCTCATGCTGTGCTGACCCCCAACCAGAAAGTTGTCTTCGTGGCTACTTCGTAACTGTAACGTTGCTACTGTTATGAATCATAATGTAAAAATCTGTGTTTTCCATAGTCTTAGACCACCCCTGGGTTGGGGGTTGTGACACACAGGTTGAGAACCCCTGGCTTAGCATCTGTTCGCTTGGGGCCAGTACACAGAACCAGCCACCAGGGACTAGAGAGACAGTTTCAGATGAGTACGAACTAAGCAGCATTTGGTCTGGGTTCTAACAGAAGTGAATAATTTTTTTTTTTTTTTTAAATGTTACTTGAGACTTAGGCTGGGACTATGTAACCCAGGATTGCTTCCAACTCACAGAGATTCTCCTGCCTCAATCTCCAAAGGGCGCCACCATTTGCGACGAAAGTAATTTTAACTTTGCCATATAAAGCATAAGGGCCTAGAGCAGCTTCTAAAATACACTCCAGCAAGCAAAATTACGTAGGCTGTCGGCTGGGGAAGAGTCTAGCTCAGATACCCGAACAGAGGGTGACAAGAAGTGTCGGTGCTAGACAAAGGTTAAGATACAGGAAGCTGATGGGACAGTGTCTGGTTTGGCCACCTAAGTAGACTGCACTGCTCTTATAAAATGGAGCGGGGAGGAGACAGAGAAAGGGAGGGAGGGATGGACGGACAGACGGACAGACAGACAGACAGAGAAACCAAGCTGTGGAAGGAGCTGTCCTTTCGGCCTTTTCTCCCGGACCCCGCCCCCAGTCTCGGCATTGGAAAACCTAATGTGTTCCAGAGTGGCCTGGACACCTGTGTGCCTCACGGGGCGTCCCGGACCTTGCTCGGAAGTCTGAGTTCCCTGTAACCGCCAGCAAGGCTCCCCACCTCCACCCACCCTCAGAGAGAAAGTACTCGTCCTTCAACGCTGTACCGCCTGCAAACTATCCGGGTCTGCAAACTATCCGGGTCTCACCCTGGTGAGCGGTCCTCTCGGCCAGATTGCAAATTATCAACAAGCAACATATGCTCCCTGGCAAATGAAGGGCTACCTCACTCTTGCGCTCCTGCAGAGCGCAACTCCCACAGAAACACCGCTGGCTTTCGGCTTCCAAGTAACCTGCATGTGATCCTGTCTGGCCTGCATTTAAAAAAAAAAAAAAAAAGGAAAAAAAATAGTCACTGACCCTCACTGGGTTTGTCCAAGGTATGTACAATTAGGAAGAAGCCCAGCAGAAAAACTCCAAATTATTCCCAATTAATTCCTATTATGGTAACTACTAATTTCTTATGTTTATAGCCCGCTTGAAAATTCGAAACACAACCATTTTAACACATTGCTGGCTGCGGAAATGGCCTCAGCACTGCAACCGGAAACAGAAACTGACCACTACACAAACGCCACCTAATGACCAGCTAGAGCACAGGCAAACCCTGAAAAGTGGCCCAATCGGAAGGGGCCTGGCTTTTCCGGTGAAAATTTGACGGAGAACAGAATCAGAGCAAGGAAGAGCCGGCCAGTCTTCTCGGCGGGTTTGGTTCAGCATCCCTGCAGGCCCGCTATTACGCAGGCGCAGTTCCACTACGCTCAGACACCAGAACACGTAAGCAAACGTTCCGCTTTCACTGCACCTACTGCTTGCGGGCTAAGACCGTGGGCTCTTGGTTTCTAAACTACATTTCCCAGCAGGCTCCCCTCTCATACAGATAATAGGTTAGGTTCTCCGAGATAGGATAAAAGAAAATTAGGCGGTGACGTACTAAACAGGAAACAAGTTGATTACGGTGTTTGAGCGCCTCAGCCTAGAGAGCCCCAGTGGCCTAATGGATAAGGCATTGGCCTCCTAAGCCAGGGATTGTGGGTTCGAGTCCCATCTGGGGTGGTTCATTTTTTCCACATAAAAAACGAGTCACAGCTATTATTAATTTTATTTATGTATCTATGTTTGAGACAGGGTCTCTCTACATACCTCTGGCTGTCTTGGAACAAACTGGTCTTGAGCTCACAAGACACCGGCCTGCCTCTGCCCCCCAGTGCTGGGATTAAAGGCGAGTGCCACCATCGCCCGGCCATTTTGTTTAGAGAAAACTGTGTGTGAGCCTGCACTAGCCGAGGGGTGCGGTTTGCCACACCAGGAGACCAGTCCATTTTCTTCCCCTGGGCTGCGGGCATGCGTTTAGTTTTGACATCCCTGGTAGAAATGGTTAGCTCTTTTTCGCATGACCTTTGCCAAATCCACACTCTCTCCTGCCAGCCGCATTTTCTCCTGAGTCTCGGCGGCCATCAGCTAACGGCAGTCCGAAGCGACGCAGTCCCGAGGACCTGCAGCGGAGGCTGCAGCGGCGGCAGGGTCTCTGCAGGACTGCTACCTCGGCCTTTCTTCTAACTCCCTAGGGCGCCGCTCGCGGGGCCGTCGGTAGGCGGCGCTGTGGAGCGCCAAGGCCCGGGCCGTACCATCGAGCACGGTGCCGGGAGGGGGGGGAGCACCCGCTGGCCAAGGACAGGAAGATGGCGGCCCTGGGGTCCCCGGCGCGCACCCTGAGAGGCCTTCTGCGGGAGCTGCGCTACCTGAACGCGGCCACCGGGCGACCGTATCGCGACACAGCAGCCTACCGGTACCTGGTGAAGGCTTTCCGAGCACATCGGGTACGGGAAGCCGTGTCCAGAGGGCCCGGGTCTCGGGGAGCGAAGGCGAGGGCGGTCTGGGCAGGGGTTGCGATGTCTTAGGGCAGACACGGCTGAGCAGACCTGTCCTCCACCTGCCGTCCTCACCACATGACCCAGGCCCTGGGCTAGCCTGCGGTCTCGGGTCCCCGTACTAGCCAGAAGCCACGTGGGGTGCACCTTCCTAGGGACTTGCTATCTGCCACCCACCGGGCTGGAGCAGTCTGACGATTTCATTGGTGTGTCTGGTCCGTGGGTGTGCAGTGGAATAGGGGCGGGCATTGTATGAAGCAGCCCCTAGGGGTCTTACACTTAAAGGCACAAGGGCATAAGCACTCCCCCTCCCCACACTTTCCACGTTCAAGTTTTTATAGGAAGCAATGTTTTTGTGTGGCGGGGAGAGTGTGTGTGTGTGTGTGTGTGTGTGTGGAAACAGCATTTCACTATTAAGTTGGCCGACCAGAAATTTGCTCTGTAAACCAGATTGACCTTGAACTCAGGTATCAGATTGCCTCTGTCTCCTGAGCTCAAGGATTAAAGGCATAGGCCAGACAAAAGCAGTTTTTAAGACAGTGAAGTGGGGAATATTGGAGAGTTCTTCAAGTGTGGGCACTGTATTTTATTTATGTAACATCATCATTGAGAAAAGCAATGACTTGTATTCTATCATGGCACTCCCATCTGCATCATTAGCTTGCTGTATAACAAGGATTATTATGTATATACAGTGTTCTGCCTGCAGGCCAGAAGAGGGCACCAGATCTCATTACAGACTGTTGTGAGCCTCCATGTGGTTGTTGGGAATTGAACTCAGGACCTCTGGAAGAGCAGCCAGTGCTCAGAGCTTGTAACCTCTGAGCCATCTCCAACTCCAGGTTTCATGTTTTACTGCTGTAACGAACATAAACACACAGCATGCGAACCTTAGGAGGTACCACTGTGAAATCCACACTCCATGTCCCTCTTAGTCAGAAGGGAATGGAAGATGATGGGTCATTTCCCAAATGGGGGTAGTGATCAGTCCTCTGCCTTTTGGACAAGATCAAATGCAAGTGGGACCGCTAAGGCTCCGGGACAGTTACCTGGACGAGGATAAGGAGAACTAGAATTTAGGGGAAGGAACCTAATGTTCTTGAGCAATCTTAACTGCTGAAATTGAGCAACGCAAAACCTTACAACTAAAATGCACTTCGCTTTTAAAAAGTCATAATGTGAGGGACTGTGTGTACTAAGAACTTGGGCCAAATATCAAGAATAAGATGCTCCTGGCAGTGGTGGCACATGCCTTTCATCCCAGCACGCTGAGTTTGAGGCCAGCCTGGTCTAGAGTTGAACTCCAAGACAGCCAGAGCTCCATAGTGAAACCTTGCCTCAAAACAAACAAACAAACAAACAAAACCCCCCAAAACAGTACCAGCAAAAGAAACTTTTCAGGAAAACACCAGGATTCATGCTTAAAACTCCAGGGCTGACCTACACCTTTAATCCCAGCATAGGCAGAAGTTAAGGCCAACCTGGTCTATAAAGAACATTACAGGCCAGCCACATCCACTCCCAGCCCTGTCTTCCCAAAGTAAAGAGCAGGACTCCCAGGGACATCAGCTGAACTTGGCACAAGATACAATAAGATCAGGCACAAACCCTCACATCAAGGCTGGGCAAGGCAACCCAACCCAATAGGATATCTTTTTTTTTTTTTTTGGTTTTTCAAGACAGTGTTTTTCTCTGTACAGCTTTGGTCCCTGTTCTGGAACTCACTTTGTAGCCCAGGCTGGCCTTGAACTCACAGAGATCCACCTGCCTCTGCCTCTCCAGGATTAAAGGCATGCCCTACCACCGCCCAGCTCACCTTTTAATATTTCTATATATATCTACTTTTTGGGGTGGTGTGCATGCCAAACATGTGGGGGTTGGGGGACAATCCGTAGGGGAATCCGTTCTCTTTCTCTACTGAGGGGTTCTGGGGATTGAACTCAGGGCATCAAGTTTGGCAGCAAGTGTCCTTACCTACTGACAGTGACTTTCAAGCCAGCTAGGCTAAGAAGGGAGACCATTTTCTCAAAGAAGAACCCCACCCACCCACCCACCCACACTAAGTTTGACCCAGGTATGATTGTGGTGTCACATATCTAGCCAGTCCGTACTACATAGTAAGACCTTGTCTCTAAAAAAGTTTTGATTCCAGCAGGGCGGTGCTGCTGGTAGTACATTAAATATGACATGCTCGAGTTTTCAGATTTGAACCTCTACACCGGATTTCCCTGTGTAACCCTGGCTGTCCTGGAACTTGCTCTGTAGATCAGGCTGGGCTTGAACTTAGAGATTCACCTGCCTCTGCCTCCTTGATTATTGGCATTAAAGGTGTGGGCCGCCACCACCAGGCTGCTGCTAGTTTTCTTGGTGTTGGGAGTTTGAATTACAAATAAAACCTGTGGTAGGAAGCAGATGCTAGGCATGTATGAATCTTTATGTGACCAAACAACATCGAACCGGAGGTCAGCTTTCCTAATTACACAGTGCTCTATGGAGATACTAACTACATATCAAGTGTGTCTGTGTTCTGCTACTTTGTAGAGGAAGCTTATTTATCAGATCGTCCTCTGGGGGCATGTGGCTACTTCGGGGTGGTACCGGACCGTCTGACTTTGTTCATGGCGTTTTTAGGTCACCAGTGAGAAGTTGTGCAGAGCCCAGCACGAGCTTCACTTCCAAGCTGCCACCTATCTCTGCCTCCTGCGCAGCATCCGGCAACATGTGGCCCTCCATCAGGAATTTCATGGCAAGGGTGAGCGTTCAGTGGAGGAGTCTGCTGGTTTGGTGGGCCTCCAGTTACCCCATCAGCCTGGAGGGAAGGGCTGGGAGCCGTGATGGAGAGTCCTCAGATGCCCCTTCATTCAAGAATCCAACCATTTCTACCACTATGTATTTATTAAATGTTTTGTAAAGTGTAGCTTCTTTGTTGTTGTTTTGTTGTGTGTCTTTGTTGACTTGAGTGGTTAGGGAAATAAAACCGGAGGGGGCTGCAAGTGAATTTGCTGAAGTTTTTATCGGATTAATTCTTGTTCTAGTGTGTCAGTGCTCTCGCACATGCAGGTTCGTGTGGAGGCAGGGGGACACCAGGGTGCCTTCCTCAAGTACCTCTCCGCCTCATCTCTTGAGACAGTATCTCTCACTGAACTTAGAGCACTAACAAGTCCTCAGGATCTTCTGTCTCTGTTCCTCAGCTTGGGGGTTAGCAGCATGCGCTGCCATGACTATTTATGAGGGTGCTAGGGATCTGTGCAAACTTTAACCAGTGAGCCTATCCCTAGTTCCTGATGTGCTTGGTCTAATTTATACCTAGAATTTTCTTTTTCTTTCCTTCTTTTTTTAAAAGTAATAATGGAGAGATGGCTCATGGTCAGGAGTGTGTATACTAGTCTTACAGAGGATCTGAGTTTGGTTCCACACCCATGTCAGGGAGCTGACAACCACCTTTTATAACTCTAGTTCCAAGGGACCTAGCACCTCTGCTCTCCACAGGCACCTGCACTTATGTGCACATACACATCATTAAAAAATTTTGTTTTGCTTTTGCCTATTTTTGAGATAGACTCTCACGAATTTGCTATGTAGGCCAGGTTGATGTTGAACTCAGAGACCTGCCTGGCTTTGCCTCCAGAGTACTGGGAATAAAGTACCACCATGCCAAGCTCTGAACAGAAATATTTTAAAATATAAAAATAATAAGTAATGCAAGCCTAGTGTCTTAAGGAATTTTAATGCCATAAATGTAACACCCATATTTATCCCTTCTCTCTTCTCCCATTTCCATTACTTGTGGTAAGCATTACTAAGTTGACTATGCAACTTTCCACATACTTCCTATGTCTGGACAAACCCAGAATTAAATATATGGGTATGGATCTTAAATTTTTATTTTCTTACTGTATGATAGGTATGAGTGCAGGTGTTTATGTGCCACCATGCAGGTAGAGAGGCCAGAGGACAATTTTAGGGAGTTAGTTTTCTCCTTCCACAGTGGAATCCAGGGACTTGAACTCAGGTTCTTAGACTTGTGCTCCAAATGATTTTACCTACTTGCTGGTCCAGTGTGTCTGTCTTTTAGAAAAGTACCCAACTGTGATGTGTTAGGGTCCTGGCAGGAAATAGATGGAATGAAGTTGAGGAGAGTTAAGGGGATACATGAAGATGTGGGATGAATGAAATAATGTCAAGCAGTAAGCTAACAACAGTGGGAGATATTACTTCCTTAGGCCTGATAAGCAGGGGCTCCTAAGGATGATAGCCACAGATGAACTCCAGCCCTAGGATGTCCAGGAAGAGGGGATCAAAGAGCACCTTAACATCTACCCCTACTACTGTCAGATTTCTCTACCTTTTAACCTGCATTTGAACAAATGCTTCTGTTGCTAGAGTTTTCCGCCTTGCCCACAGTCAGGACAAATCTTTGTCACCTGCAGTCCCACAATCCACTTATAAAATAATCACTCAGACGCTTATATCACTTATAAACTGTATGGCCGTGGCAGGCTTCTTGCTAACT